GGGTCACTGTGGGTGGTACCACCCCTAGGCAGGTGGGCCTGTGTTGTGTAAGAAAGCAGGTTGAGCATGGGCTAGGGGAGCAAGCCAATAAGCAGTATTCCTCCATGGCCTGTGCTTTACCTCCTGCCCTGAGTTCCTACCTTGGGCTCCCCGACCATTGGTTTTTCAGGACACGGAAGCCGATAGAACTCTCTCCTCCCCAAGTTGGTATGGTCAGAGTAATTTGCCAGAGCAATAGAGAAAGAAACTGGAACAGGGTAGCCAAACCTCGGCTTGTGGCCCAGCCCTGGGGGCCACTCCCCGCAAAGGGGACCCCAGACCCTGGTGGGCCGCCCAGAGGTAGGACAGTGTTCCCTGTGAGGGTCTATCCCTTGTGGAAACGCAGTGCCAGCCCAGTCCCCTGGAGAGGAGGGTGGGGTGGGGTCAAAGGCAGTGGCTTCCTGCTAACAGGCCCCACCCTGATGGATGAGTTGGGGTCCAGGAACAGATGCCCGCCATCCCCTAGGATGCACCCTGAGGTGTGAGAGTTTAGGCCCACAGTCATTGATTGTAGCTTATAGGGTTCAGAGCTAGGTAAGACTGTTAATGACTTGCTTTCTCTCGTGGCCTGCACTACACCTTCCAGTACCGTGACAGCTAGCCATCACTAACTTGATTTCTCCATGTCGTGTAAAATTGTGTGGTATTTTTAAGAATAAGATCTTGCCATCAAGTTTTGGTATGCAATCAAGAGCAATGGTAATAGCTTGTATTGTTTTGGGTGTCTATGGGCCATCTCTGACCAGGATCTACAGGGGATATATCCCACACTTGGGACTGGGTTTTTTGTTTGGCAACTTATGGCTTCCTTAGGAGAATAATCCCTGTGTAGGGTAACTCCAATTAAATACTTTACTATGACTATCTGTGTAAATATATGCATGAAACTTTTTCAAACATCCTTAGTAATAATGATCCTCCACCCCAGCCCCTTCTACATCCTATGTATCCATTCCTCTCCCCATATAATGCTCCCTCCCCAATAGTCCCCCTTCCCCCCTCATATTTCCCACGTATATATCCCTGCTCCCTTAAGAACTTTCTTCTTTACAGCAAAGGCCCCTTTCTACTTTTCTGGCTTCTACAGGTTATCCAAGTTAAACACATAAATCTGAAGTTTCGATAGTAGGATCCACATACGTGTGAGAGCATGTAATATTTGTCATTCTGTGTCTGGCTTACCTTACTTTGTATAATGTTTAACAGCTCCACTCATTAGCTTGTAAATTTCATAGTTTCTCTTTTCTTATATAATTGAATAAAATTTCATTGTGTATATATACCATATTTTCATTATTCCTTCATCAATTGATGGACATCTAGGCTGTTTTCTCCTAGCTATTGTGAATAGAACAGCAACTAACATGGATGAAAATGGGTCTCTATAGTAGCAAACAGAGTCTTTTGTCCAGGAATATTATAGCTAGGTCATACAGTAGATATGTTTCTACAGTTTTCTGAGGCACCACCAAGCTGATTTCCATAGTGGCTATGACAGTTTTCATTCCCATCAACAGTGCACCAGGCTTTCCAGTTCTCTGCATCACTACTAGACTTGTTGTCTTTTTTCTTATCATAGTCAATGTGAGTATGGTAAGATGAAATCTCAAAGTAGTTGTACTTTTCACATTCCATATGAATAGGGATGGTGAACACTTAAAAAATATTTCTAGGCCGGGCGTGGTGGCACACACCTTTAATCCCAGTACTCAGGAGGCAGAGGCACGCAGATCTCTGTGAGTTCAAGGCCAGCCTGGTCTACATAGTGAGTTCCAGGCCAGTTGTGGCTACAGGAAGACCCTGTCTCAAAAAGAGAGAAAAAAAAAATCCAGAATGTTTGCTTCTTCTAGAATTGTGTGTGTATGATCTGGGTTGTTTGTTTTCTTGGTGTTTACTTAAAAATATATTTATTGACCTTTTTTTATATTTCATACAACTGTTCTTAATCAAATTTAGACCTTCTTTCCCATCCATACCCCCCCCACACCCCACCTGACCTCATGTATTCTGCCATACATGTTAAGTCCCACTCATTTGTACTCTGATGGTCATCCACTGGAGTCTAGTCAGTCTATCTAGAAATCTTAAGGAATGTCTACTCTCCCTCACCAAGCAGTAATAAGTCTCCAATACTTTCAGGCTATGGCTGGCCTGCGGCCCATTTGCCTTGCTCCTCTCTGGACCCTTGTCTGATTGTGTTGGCATAGGTCTTGTGCTTGACACTACCATTGCCTCAAGTTCACATGGACAAGCTTCCAGTGGACTATGTTCACGGACCAACATGGCTCTTACAATCTTTTGGCCCCCTCTTCCACAATGGTCCCTGAGCCATGGGTGGTTGACATTTAAATACATAATCCTATCCAAGGAAACACACTCTGCAATCTCTTATTATCTAAAACTTGGCCAGCTGTGGCCTTGTGTGTGCACTGTACTCTGTTGTATAAGGAAGCTTTTCTGGTGAGAGTTAAGGGATACACTAGTATTCTTTCTACCTCCTGTTATGCTATGTTCCATGAGGCTTAGGTGTAGAGGTTCCACTGTAGATGTATCACTTAGGGGTGGGAACCTCTCAGACATATATTCTCTGTGTGTGACCAGATGTGGAACTCTGCAGTAACCTCCAACTGTTGCAAAAAGAAGATTCTTTGCTGAGTGATGTATGGGATACTTGTCTGTAAACAGGGATCAATATTTAGACTATGGTAAGAAATTTAATTTGTCAAGAGATATGACAGCGATAGTGTTTTCTCTAGGATTTATGACCTCTGCAGTCATGTATATTTAGCTATAAGTACAGTGCCACCCATGAAGTCATTCCTATTGAGAGAACTTTCTCTCTCAATGAAATAGCTGTTGATTATCCTCCCAGGTAGGTGTGCCATTATTGAACCAATGGAGGTAGTTTTCTGTTACAATCATTATGGTTATTAGGCTTTAGGGTTTAGTTGGACCATTGATTTTCCCCATTAGCAGCTTACATAGTGCCCTCTAGGCTTCCAGGGCAGTTCCTGCTCCATTGTTACAAGTCCTGTGTCCAAAGTGTGTCCTTTCTTCAGCAATAAGGTATTACCTTCGAGTTCTGGGGAGATAACCAAGGGTTTCGGCAATAGCCTGTGTTATTTCGGGAGTCTCTTGGACTACTCTGACCAACCACTCAAAGGGAGGTCTCTCCTGTCTGGCACTGTGCTCCTTGCCATACAGGCCCCTAGGTAGACATTTACACTAATGTTTAGACACTATGTTTCTCAGGGGGCTCATGAGCCAACACATTGCCCTCTGGCTTTCTACAATCACCTAAGCTCCATTCATCTCTATTCTCTCTCCCCCATCCAATCTCCTTCTTCCCTCACCAGTCCAAGCACCCCCATTATCCCTACTCTCTGCCCCCCCAAATAACACCCACCTCCCACCATCCACATTCTCCTGACATCCATCCTCTTCCACTCCCACGATTACCTGCATGTACCTCCCTCCCCCACCTTCTAAACAAACACTCCCACTTTCCCCACCTCCCCCATGGTAACATCTGTTTCATATTATAAGCCTCTTTAGGGCTCTTTTTTTCCCCTTTATCTCCATGTTTCCTTTTCAGTTTCCTGGTTCCTGCTGTTACATCAGGATATATGCTCACATATAAGGGATTGAAGCTATGATCCACAAATGAGGGAGAACATACATCACTTGCTTTTATGAGTTAGTGTTACTTTACTTAGTATAACACTCTCTAGTTCCATCCATTTACCTGAAAATGATTCATAATTTCATCTTTTCTTACTGCTGAGAACTACTAATGTACTACATTTTCATTACCTATTAGTCAGTTGAGGAACATTTAGGTTGTTTCCATTTCTTAACTATTGTGAAGAGAGCAGCAACAAACATGGATGTACAGGTATCTCTACAATAGGATAAGTCCTTTGTGTATATGCCTGTCGAATGACCCCCAAGCCCACCAGGCTTGGGTCTTCAACAAAAAGGACACTCAGGCATAAGTCTGAATTTATGTGAGGAATTTATTAAAGGGACAGCAGGTACAGAGAGGAGAGCTCTCTTTAGAAGGAAGAATCAGGAAGAATCTACTGAGGGGTCCCACAGGTCCTTTTTATCTGACTCAGAGTTTGGGTCACCTAGGTGACTCTTAACAACAGAAACAAAAGGGTTACTAAGAGACAGAACATAGGCCGAACTGAAACTGACTTTCTAGAAGACATGATTTATCAACCAGGCTACAGCCTGTCAGCTCTGACCGCTTGAAGCAGAGAGCTCAGAAGCTCTTAAAGTGACACTCTCCTAGTTTCAATGCTCATGGCAAGCATGGCTC